GTTTTTTTTTTTTTTTTTTTCTCCTCTTCCCATTTCGCTCAGAAGGGATACTCCACCACTGGGAAAACTACCGGCACCTTCATCATCCGACTGAAAAATAAAAATCAAACTTCAAAATCGAGATTTCAAAACAATCAGCTCATGAAATAGACTAAATCATCTGCCCGAATTTCGTTACATCTCCCGAATACGTACAGAGAAAATAGTAGCAGCAGGACCCTAACCTCCCACTGGATGATCCACCACGTTACTTCCAGGTACTTGCCAGCCAATCATTTGCCTTTTCCTGTACAGCTCCACTCAAGCGTCATGCGCGGTTAGTCCAACCCGTTGGAAATAATAACTCCGATACAAATTCACCGACAGATCCGACCCCTGTCTATCTAACCCTACGGTTCCTTGCAGAATGCACCGGGATGGAAAAACTTATCCCCGCTCTTTCACATCACTATACCCAAAACGTAGCTATCGGGCAACAACCTCCACCTCATTTCGTCGAGTAAAGGAGGAGAACCCCATTTCTTTGCATTCTCTCCACTCTTTCTTAATTGCCCCCTGGGGAAACCTTCTTTGATTTTCCCCAGTGAGGGGGATAGCTACGTGCTTCAGGTGGGGAAGCGGGGTTTAGACGATTCATTGAATGACCGAATGAGCTTTTGTCGGAGCAGCTTTTTGGAGGAAGAAACGGATCAATTGAATCGCGTACTACGGAACGGAAAAATTCATCTCATTTTCCCTATCGACATGTTAAAAATATCGGATAATTTAGTTGTTACTTTTTCACTCACAAAGGAGAGCGGTTCGTTTGTCACAATGAACGGTCACGGATTATCACTCGATCTTGAGACAACCACAACACGACGTGCTGCTGCTGCTTTAGACCCGGACACAAGAGCGTAATTAACTCAAGAGCACTGACCACTCATGAGCCACGTATGAAAGTCGAACCCCGGCATACAGGACACTCCCTATTAACCATACTCCCGCACAGACCTGGTCCACGCAAACAATCAACTGAGGACAAGATCTGTATTCTGCCTTTTTTTTTTTTTTTTTTTCTCCGCAGAAGTCAGTTCAATGGAGCTTTAACGATGAGATTCACGTGATTCTTACTTATCTCAGTCAAGTACACCATAGGGTTGGTGTTTGCCGCTTCATCCAGAATTGGGATATTCTTAGGAATTAGCATTTCGAGCTTTGTGAAATTGCAAGCTTATATTTGATCCGGATGCGAATGTCTCGGATAAAGCCGAGCACGTGAGTTGAAATTTGGTCTTTAAGTTGTAGCTAGGCTACATGTAAGCACATACCAATGAGGTCACAGAATAGCACGCGTTTACATCACCTGTTCTGTATCATACGTATCTGGGGCCGGACCTTGTTCTTAAGTCACACGCACGATAAACCAAGCGAGGCACTGAACGGCCTACGAAATAGGGAGACTTCTAAATAGTTATTAGTGCTCTTTCCCTAGCTATGTTCTGGAACGTGTCACGCCAAAATAGTTCCTTCAACACGAAAGAAGGGTCAAGTATTGGATATTCGATGCGGTCTTGTGATGCAAATTGCAACCTAGCAAATATACAGTTTCCGGTAGAATTATTGCGAAAGTCAGAGCTAAAAGAGTGGATTTTGTTGGTCTGTGCTCGTAGCAAAAGTCTTTTAAGGGCCAATAGGACTATCGGGTCACGGAGAACCCACTTTCGCAATAATTCTACCGGAATCTGTACTTTAATCCCCCTTCTCCCCCGATTTCCCCGAGGTACAAGCAGTAATAAAACAAGACTTAGACTACTTTGTTATGGGAAAACGGTGAAAACGGTTCCAAGCTTTGAGTATGGGGGACCGGAAATCGGAAATGAACTTCAGCATCTATACCCATATGTTGATCAAATTCGCGGCGTGCCGGTCGCCGTTGATCCAGAACCATAAGCTCTTTACCCATTAACTTATTACGCAGCGTACAAGGGCTTGGATTATCTCCAAACCGCGCGAGCCACACGTTTTCATCATCAATACTCCATTAGGACAAGCTCGGGCGATCTATTAGACGCTTCGACTTCATCACTTTGTCGGTTACACGCGAGCTCGCATAGGTTTATAGATACAAATATTTATTTAAAAACAACAACTCGCGGGGGTCTGTTTTGTACTCGTAAATACATACATGCAAAGCCATATGGGGCGGTAAATGTGTCAAAAGTAATTTTACCAACGGTAGTAAATTATTTTACCACCGGTGGTGAAAATAATACCAGTATTTATACCTATAATCCTAATTTTCATGATAAAAGCACAGACCTTTTGACCAAAAGGGGCCATATAATGCCAATATATATGAAGATTGTCCACCGGTGGGAAATTTTCATATGTTTTGGCATTAATGATTGAACATTTACTTATGTAGTATAACGCAGCATAAAGACCGAAACCCAGTGTTTATACGGTGGGAAATGTACTAATGTAGGATAGCGTGCAGACACAATGACTGAAATCCAGTGCTTATACCACCGGTGGTAAATAATTTACTACCGTTGGTAGAATTACTTTTGACACATTTACCGCTCCATAAAGCCAGAGAGAAAAGGAAGTAATAAATAGATAACCGAATTTGCCAGAGGCCCAACTTTCTTCATGAGGAACATACCCAGGGTGCCAGAAAATGATGTACATTTCCATTGAGCTTTTTACCACATCTTTTTGCAGTATGGTAGTGGCCTATTGGGATATTTATATTCAACTACCGCCAAATGATATATGTGTTCTTAGTCATAACAAAGATACCCCCAAAATGTGCGTGCGTAGGAATATTGAAAACTTCTTCCTTAATCAGGGTCAAGAATCACGTCGTTTCAGAACAATGCAGGCACGAACAGACAATCCTATTATTTGTATCTTCCTAGCCTGTTTATGTAATGTTTCCATTAATAAATCTATTACTTTTCAATATTATCAATTAATTGATCCATGCCGATCACCCGGAGACCTGGTCGTTGATCAAAAGATAATCTTGATCTAATCTGATGAATCATAATGACTAATCAGGATCAAGATCAAATGGAGTGATATCGTATGAAGCAGGTCCAATCTTCTGCCACGGGACAACTTAACGACAAACACCTTGAGGATTCAAGATTTCTGAACTTGGATAGGAAATTTCAAATGATCACGCAAAAACCGCTCCCCTTGGTACATGTATGTACTTGACAAGTCCGACTCAACGAAGCATTTTACTCAGTTTATCTCCACACAGGGCACAATCCAAAGCTTCGTATGTACAGTTTTAATATCAAAACTCCGCCACGGATCATGCAACTGATTCTGACCATTAATTGCGTTCGTCGAAGGCATCAACTGGCACGCGCACCGCTGGTACATGGCTAGCTTGGACCCCTAAGTGATTAATAATAGACGTCCTGCACGTATATTCAGTTATCAATAAGTTAGTACCGGTCTTTGACTTTGAGACGCTGGACGAGCATTAACTTTGGCAGTTGAAGCCACGTTATCACAAAATCTCACTCGCGTTTGTGTCTTGGCGTCATCAAGTTACATATGTTATGATATGTGCAGCCTGGTTCGGGTTTTTGGCTCAAATCCAAGTGTAGCTACAATCTGGCTACCCGCACCGCATATTAGATCAAGACTTTTCAGTCTTACACATGAGCAAATTCATAGAGCACAATGTTTGTTCGCTGTAACCGATTTTCACCAACCAATTTTCCCTTTCGATCTCAAGTCCCCAGCTCAGGCTCATTATCACAACTCTTCGCCTAATTAATCCCTTATTTGTCAATGCCGATCAATAAATACGGGACGAAACTCGTATAAATTTTTTATTGTCTGAAACGGATTTCCACACGCGCTAACTCGATTCTTCACCAGAATATTCGATGTCCCCAGGGATTCGCTAAACAACTACCGCGGCCAGGAGTCTACACTACCCACCAACAACTCGATTGCCAGCGATAATTCAGTTAGATGCCGGAAAGGCTGTGCTGATTAATTGTATATTAAACAGGCCCATTGGCAGATCTGCAGAGAGCTATGGGCCCAGATGGCGGGGAACAGTACTTCCAGGTCTGTGGCTCCGCATACTAGAGTTCTAAGATATATCTACGTTCTGGCACACAGCTGCAGTAAATACTTTCCGGACCCTTTAAGAATATTAAGGAAATGCATTGCGTATGTGTGGTTACAACGGCGCCGTGTAATCTTATAGAGATTCCCCTTCCAACTAATTCCGGAACGAACAAAGAATTGCATCAGAACTATAATCTGGGAAACCATCACCCCTCAGAGTTTTTCGAATGACTGATGATCGGTATTATTAGTAACGCTGTCACAGTTGTTGTGTGTGGAAGCTTTGCCCCAATTGGTGTAATATCTACATTCTCTTATCTGGAAGTTAGAAAATAACGTTTAGTTATAAAGATACACGAGAATGACTGCCCCACCGGGTACAAGCACATCTAAGAGCTCTGCCATTGGGTGCCTCATATAACTCTGAAAGTCTAAGTTACTGCGCATATTACGAAATGCGCATATGCAACAAAGTAATAAATTAGGGAAAGTGCTATATATATGATTGAGTCTCACACAGCGTTCAATTGAGCGAGACAGTGGACTGAGACAATTATTTAATTTGTCGAAAACAAAGAACAAACCTATTCTCCGAAGATGTTTCATTCCTTTTCCCTTTCGTCCTTAAGTTCAAAATTCGAACTCAGCCCCATACTAGGCGGAAGTTCAATGTAGAAACACTGATACAGCGATTCTCATCACCATATGTACTTGCTAGCTAGACAGGCACAACCGATATTGCAATACAAACACAAAATGAAAAGCCCTGGCTTGCGCGCTACAACCCATCCACGAACCGTTTTCATAATCACCCAAATCATTTTTCATTACAATCATTAACTATCCATAGCTACAAAAAAAAAATTGCCCCAAAAGAAAACCGCTCCAAAATTGCTCAAACCCGATATAGTACGCCCCTAGCGCTGCGGTGCATAATTCATCTGTCCCTGGGTCTGGGGCGCATAGCTCATCTGCTGCGGCGCTGCATACCCTCCCATCTGTGCCCTCGCCCGCTCTCTGTCTCTCACCTCCATATCCTCTTGAATCAACGTACAGCTACCGCAGCAACGATGTCTACAGCAATCGCCCACCCCGCCTCCTTGGAGGTTGTATCTGTATCTAATTTCATTCCGCTGACGACTCGAACCCGAGCCGCATGTGCAAAACCAGGATATACACTGTTCAATTAATCCTCTATTAGTATCGAGACTATAGCAGAGCGTACGGGCAGCGGAACGCTTACGGAGAGGTTTATACACGACCAGTTCTTCAAGGTTGAAGGTGAGGTCCGTATCCGCTCAAGGGTTCTACTGTAAAGAACGCAGGGGAGACAGAATCCCAGAAGACCTATTTGTGTCAATTTTCTATCAGCAAAGCTGTCCCCACAACATCATCAAGTGATTAAAGTGGTAAAGTAGTACATGTCGACATGTCGTCGAAGCAATCGCACATGTCATGCTGCCACGGGCCTGGGGGTCCATGCTGTGGTGTATAGTGTTCCGAAAGTCGCTGGGCAGGTTGGGCATATTGAGGGTGAAATTGGGTCTGCATTTGCATCTGTGGTTGTTGTTGCGGTTGCGGTGGCTGTTGGGACAGTGGATACTGATATATCGGCATTGAGTTTACTGGCGTTGGCATCGCGGGTACAGGGGAGGCGGCGACATTCGCGGTACGATTCTTCTGATAGTCTGACATTTGATTGTGGGTATTCATAATTGAATTTTAATAAATTGGTACTGAAAAGTAACAGGAAGAGTGGATGAGACCGGATGGTGGGTGGTGATCCTCTTATGCTGCAGTTATAGTGCTCATAAAATATATGTAGCTAGGTAGAGTAGGTACACAAAAAAGGCCAATGCAGCTTTGGTCTGAACTGTGGATTTCGGGGATGTCTTATGAGTTGAGTGCAACAGCGGTCTGCATGCCTCAATAATTGGTCACAAACACAACAAATGCCACTGATAATGTACCAATTAATGCAGGTACTAAATTAGAGTGCCTACAGTTGCACTTTGTTGAAATATACATGATTATGTAGAGTAGATACTCCATATCTGCTTTCTCACACTTATCATACCCCGTACACTAGATTTGGGCTATGAAAAAGATCACGCTACCATGCACATACAGGTTCCTCCATTTGATTCCTCTCCACTCTCCACTAAGTCCACTTTAGATAGTTGCATCACTAGACACGCTGGGGCTGAGGTTTGGTTATTTTCCAACGTTACACGATGCGTGTGCATGTAGCACGAATTCGCGAACGCAACCAAAGAACCAATTGAATGCCATAGAATAAAGCGGCCTATTGATGCACGCGGAGATTGCTTTAGAGCTGTTACACGAGTGAACTAATAAGACATATGTATTATAACATGAGAAACATACGTACATGCTGGTGTTGGACAAACGTCTTAGATCTTATCGAACTACAATACGTATCCCTTCGTCTGGCAAAAAAATGCTGTCCACCCCCCAAAAAGCAAATTTTATATGTGGCTTTACTAACAGATCCCGTTATTTCTCTTATCAAATAATAGATCTCACATACAAATATAATTCATGTGTTATAGGGTGGGCAGCATTGCCAGACGAAGGGATACCTAGAGTAGGTATATGTAGATTCTTGCACCTACAATAATTGTTTTGATTAATCGATTCGCGTATTCAAGTTTCCCTTTATGGCATTGCATTTGTTAGAAATCGGACGAATCATTTTCACTGTGTTACGGCCGTTCCTCGAGTCGTCGTCGTTGGAGGACCGGCTGTGCGATCGATAGAATTCTTGCAAGGTATTTTATTTCCCTAGCCAGTAACACAAACTCTACCTACAGTTCCCTGTTTCTCCAATAAATCAATCTCTCGTTATGCGTGTATTTAAGGGGGTGGTAGTATCTATATCTAATCCACCATCAATCGACCAAGTTCCTCTAGCGACCCAGGGCCAACTATAATTATAAGGTTAAGCTCAAGGATCTTCTTTCTTTATACCTGGTACTCCAGATGCCAAATCTTTCCCATATGTATCTACACACAGCCACTAATCGACCTCACCAACTTTCAATTTCCATAACTCTCCCAGCACCCCCTCCGTCTTACTTCGGAGTGCGTTATGAAACATTACGTTCGTCATGAATTCCTTCGCACCATTAATCTTCCCTGCAGTCTCCCTAGCAAATTCGTAGTCCACATACCTGCGCATTACTTAGAAAAGAGTTCAGCTAATCAGATTAATGATTTCACTTACATATCCTCGATATATGTGGCAGCGAACACTGGAACCTGATTCTGTGCTAATACTTCTTCATCGTAGAGTTTCGGCCAGTCTTCATATTCTGCAAGGTTCTCCGCCACTTCCTCCATCTTGTGGAGCTCAGCAAAGTCGCTGAACATCCACTGATATATCTGCTTCCATTAACCACCGCTATGAACTTTATAAGAATAAGCGGGAGATTACCATTTCACCAGTGAAGTAAACAGGCTCGGTGTCTTCGGCTTTTTTCATATCCTCCCACGAGAATATTGAGGGCTTACTAGAATCCTCTAAGACCCTTTGGGCGGACCATCGTGATGACTCACTGTATGAGCAGCAAGGTTATAGTTAGCTGTAGGTAATACCAAGAGATGTGGAGACGGACCCCTGGCAGTAAATCATTTCATGGCCGATGGCGTAGATGGGATTCGTGTCGAAGCTTTGGTGTGACTCAATAGAGGAGAGGGTTTTGTAGGTCAAAGCTCCAAATTGGTTAAGGTCACTGGCGGCATTTTGGACAAGGACTAATAGTTGTTAAATCGATATCGGATAAATGTACATCCGTTACAGTAAGGGGGTTGTTACTCACTATGCACAGAATCGATTCCTCCTATCCCGAAGTCAGCGCCCATCTAACAAAACAGAAAGGACAAAACGAGATAGAGGGCCATACCATGTCCCCCAAACGCCAAACCCAAACTCAGAAACCTCTCCGGTGTTAACATTCCCTCGCTTGGCATAAACACCTCATTATTTTCCAGATACTTCATAATATCCCTTACCCTTTTAATATCTCTGGGATATTTCTCGTAATATACTTTGTTCCTAGATTTGACCTTGAGGTACATACGCCTGTATACTTCATCTGGGTTGTTGACAAGTGGGGGCATTCCACCAGTGGTGAACACTAAGGGGGAATTAGTTGAGGTACGAGAGTACAGAGTGTAGAAAATGGACTATGGTGTACCTTGTTTAAGACCTTCGGGACTACGGCGAGGAAAGTATCAGCATAATATAGAAAACTACAGGAGTAGAGGATATGCATACTGAAGTGATAGATAAGTAACCGCACAAAAGCCCCCAAACGACTGCCCGATGACCGACCACTTCTCACCCTCCGGAAGCAATGATAAACGTATGGCCTCACAGTCTCTCACTATAAAAGTCATCAGGACTAACTTCATCTTCAATTACGAGGTGAGAAGGATCACCGATGTTATCTGCCCTGAAAAGCTTCACATAATCTGCTTGCTCTCGCACACTGCCCTGTTTCGCCAATGTGAAGGAAGTAATCGGTGTACTCATTCCCGTGCCGCGTTGGTCAATATATAAAACTTGATAGCCCTTTTCGAATAAGAAATCTGTTACCGGATGGGAGCTTGGAGGACCACATCCGAAGCCAGGGCCACCTATAGGATTGTCAAGACATAAGTTTTCATATTCATTCGGGGCGTAGGTACCTTGGAGGTAAATGACTACGCAGTATTGTAAGCATTAGAAGCTTCTTAGGCTTTAGAGATCTTACGAACAATAAGGAAGCTTTCCCCCAGTTGTGCCATCATCATCCTTCTTGTTTGGAATCGCGTTTCTCGCGAAAATCTTAATACTACCCTTCGCTGGATTAAAGTAATCCAGTGGAACCTGAAACCATCTATCCACTATCTTAAACCCACCTTTAACCAAGTTACTAGTTAGCTCATGTAAGGTATAAGTACGAAGCTGTGGCTGGAAACACGAACCGGTAACCCGATATGTCTCACTCTCAGCCTGCAATTGAAGTGCGGGATAGATTTTTGTTCGATTCATCTTAGACATGGCACGCTTGAATCCTATGGGTAAGGAGGTTATAGGCCTTGAGAAACCGCCCTGCCGGAATGTGAACATTCAAATGAAGCTTGCTGTGGTTGGCTGGCTGCCGGGTTGGTGAGAGCGGGGGTTGGAGGTGGTGTGGGCCACCAACCCTAACCCATTTAATCACGTGATCATGAGATGAAACTACTGCATGCTTAGCAAAGGAGGGTGTCAGGGAGCAAAATTGTGGCTCTTTCATAAAGACAAGGATCATGACATGCAGTCATAGTATATTAGTAACCCTCATCATCCTCGATGATGGGGACCATACTTGAATACAATACCTTTCTACGCCCGTTCATCGGACTAGATAGCGTGACTTAGTGTTGTTGGGAACCAGGTCAAATTACCGTCTATCACAGAGGGTTTCTATATATGTAGCAAACAAGGCGAGAGTGTAAACTTTAATTTAGGTGCTTAGTAAAATAGACATCTTTTATTAATAATTACGGTGATACTGTACATACTAAGACTACATACATGTACATAACGGGATTCCAATAGGAGTAACCGCTGCAGCACACAGTAAGTGCCGGGCCAAGCATCATAAAATATCACTCGGATAATTTGACCCTATCATGATTCCCTAAAGGGTGATTTGGTCTTCAGGCCCGGCAGTAGATACCCCTAGGAAGGCTGTAGAGCTCGAAAGAGCATACTCCATTCCTCCGCCGAGAAAGCCCAACATCCGACCTATAATTTAGGGCCCGTTTGGTTAATTGCAACTTCAACCTCAACTTGCAAGGATTATTGGCTTAATCCATGGAATAAATATTTGAAGTGTTTGGTAACAACAGTTGTTACCATCTGAAACCGAGCAAAACCACAGAAAGGCCATAATCTGAACAGATACTGATAGAGTTATAAAGTTGATTATAATGAGGAGCAATGGAGAGAAAAATAGTGCCCAACCAAACACCACCAGTTTTGCTTGCAACCCATGGAATGGCACAGGGACGCCAATGGGCCGTGGGTTGAGACGGGCGGCCCGGGCTATTTTTTGACGGGCCGGGCCGGGCCGGGCCATAGGTTTTATTTGATGGGCCGGGCCGGGCGGAGGTCAATATCTGGCCCGGGCTAAATAGTCACGCCCGGGCTTCAAGGTGTTCATACACTCTTAGTTGTTCGAAGGAGTGTGATACATGTATCTGTACTCTTTTTACCATAAAGGTGTAGCACATTCGATCTTATTCAACTCCAGCCCATGACCTGGACAATGAATCAAGCAGATGTAGACCAGTTCGCACGGAGGACCACTCAGTTCTTGCCAACGAACACCCCTATTCATGGAAGCCCGGGCTATTTTGCTTGGGCCAGGCCGTGGTTTTGATAGCATGGGCCGGGCCAGGCCGTCCCTCTTTTTCAGCCCGGGCTGGCCCATTGGCGTCCTTGGAATGGCAATAATTCGGTTTATTTTTCTTTGCAATCTAATACGGATTGACTTTCGTTGCAACCAAACGGGCCCTTATACATCTGTTCCTAGCCTGCTTGCAGATTTAGTAGCCATTTTTTTTGATGGTGTGAGCGCCCAAGACTTGGTGCGTAGGGAGCTCGTTCGGACTAGATCATGTATGCGAGTACTCTAGAGCAGAGTCGTAAATTATAAAGTTGAACTTATCAACGAGACCATCGATCTGCTCGAAATGCTTTTTCTAGCTGAAGGCGACACCATAACTATTTCCCAATAATAAAAGTCTGATATTCCCAAGACCGATAGTATTATTGTTAATTCGTTCATGATCAAGATTAATAATAGTCATGTTTGTTGATAATAAATCAGGACCGCCCAAAACCCAACAGTGAACTTGAGATTAAATCGTAGACGGAATGCTCACTGGTTCCATTTAGGCCGGTTCCGGAACTTACTCGCACTGGTGTTCGTAAAAGACAACAAAAAACACATTCCGTCAAGTAAACCGGCGCCACCATCGCCCCCTCGACCCAAAAAGTCATAAATGACCACCAGAATTAATATAATCACTACAAGTAGTCTGCCAAGTCTGCTCCTCCCTGATATCACTTCATGAATTCGAGTAATAACTCACCTAACACATGCATTTTTTCAATGCTAACCTGCACGGAGGTGCTACGTTAATTCAGAATCTGTTGGCCAAACCGCTTCCACTCACTTGCAGCAGAATTAGAATAAATGTTTAAAATTGCAAAAACAAGGAAGAAACATTAGAACGATAAACAGCCTGAACCCCCAAAAGACAATCAAGGAAAAACAACAAACAAAATAAAGAAACGCAAGAACAATTCCTGTTGCATCTTGTCCAGTGATAGTACAATACACAACGCCTTTCCCCTGTATAATAACTTCAAACACAATGGTAATCATGCGCAGAAGGCTACAGCTAGGGGAAACCACCTGGGGGATAAACAAAAACGATCAATAAGAGGAACTTCCCTGTAGAATATATAGCGGTTCACCCCTTCTCTCCACGAAATAAAGCTATAGAGTGACAGTAAGGTTTCATGCAAAAAGAAATCGACCAGAAAAATACTCCGTGGGAATATCATAAAACGCCTTGCCAGAGACACAGGTAGTAGTATGTACCGTACGGCGTATTTCGGACCAATCGATCTCAATATACAGAATGCTTTGCGCCGTGGAAGGAAGGTAGAAATAAACAAAAAGTCTTCACGAAGGAGAGTTCAAAAAGAAATGATAACACCGCGATTCCAAATCAAAAATGCACCGTTGCCATAATCCAAAATAACGCCGTCCCAATGCTATGGTTGATAACACCTCTCAGTTGCTGCCCGCAGCAAAAGATATTGTGGTGGATGGGAGTACACACCTAAGCCCTGAGCCCCATGAGCATCTGCATCATCCCCTTGAGTTCTGCAAACCCCTGCTGAGTCTCGCGTCTACTCTCCTCAAATAAACCTCTCAATTCTCCGATTTCTCCCTTGAGTCCCTCAACATCCCCCTTCAAACGTGTTAATTCTTCTCCAACCGAGCGTAGAGATTCGGATGTATCCCTGGTGTGTTCCTGGACAAAGCCCAAGGTTCGGCCCGAAACAGTTACCTGATTGGATATGCTGTGTACACTCTCCGAGAGATCGAAAACATGATTGGCTAGTGCATGCATGTTCTGGACAGGATTATAACGTTCATAATCCGATAGAAAGTGCTTCCGCCTAGACATATGTTCGTTCCAACGAAGAATTTCGCTAGCAGGAATAGGTTCGGTGGGTACTTCAGAGTAGTGGTTCGAAGGGCTCTCCGAAGTTGTGGAGCCAGGGGATGGCGGTGAGTGCGGATCTGTGTTCATTTTGTAGATAAAATAACGAGATAAAGAAATTTGTCGGTCTCAGTTTTTAAAAAATATAAAAGGTGTAATATTGAGTGTTAAAATATGTACGTGGCAAATTTTCGGGAAGTTACGGTGGGAGTTTGGCGATCTTGAATTTTGGGTGAGAGTTGTGAATGGTGGCGAGACTGCGAACTGATTGCCGACCGATGAGCTGTTAGCCGCGCCATGTCTTCGTTCCATCGGCTACTTTTCCACAAGGATATCGAGTCGAGATTTACCTGATTTTGAAGCTGGATATGAGGAGATTATGATGACGGTGTGGATTTCTTTGCAAAAGCAGTTATACGTTCGTTCGTGTGGGTGGCATTTTGTCGTTGGAGTGTGAAAGGGAGAAGAGGAGAAAACGGCGATGAATGAAGAGGGTAGGCGTGGCAGGAATTTCTTGGCAGACAACAAGAAGCAGCCAATATGGAGAGGGGATGTTTCACCCGGGGCGCAGGAATAAGTAATAGCAACATTGAGCAGGTTATTTCGGTTGGAGGACAACCGGCGGACTATCATAAACACCGAGATTCTGATTCTGGGGATGAGTACTGCAAAATTTAGTGAGTGAGCAAGAGAAGAAATATAATTGCAAACTCATCGCTGTCTAGCTGATGCCTTATGAATCATGGCACTAGAGCTATGATTAGAGAACTCAAAAGAGATGCACATACATCTAGGTATATAATAGTGCTTTGCGTTCGCGAAGTGAGCAATCCATGCGGTTGCACCTTTGTACTCATTTCTCAACAGATGCGCAATACAGCATTCGTACATAAACGTCCCGGGTATTCCGCGAGTAAAGTAGATATCTGTGGTTTCTGATAATACTCCATAAGGGCGCAACCCCAAGCCCTAACTACACCCAGAAACGTGCGAAATCAAATAAATACATGTCTTAGCCAGCAACCGCAGATGTATTAATATTATGCATGTAATACCGCATACCTCGCGACATAGCTCGCGCGAGTTATGGATTATTTTCTTTAGTTCATCCTCTAGTGGATTATCACAGGGTTTCAAGCCCCGGGTTAGCTTTGGTATTGTTGTAGGCCCTTTGCGCGGAGGGACTTCGGGTCTTGGTAAGACGATGCCAAGACCGCCAAAAACGATCGACTCCGGATCCCTCTGCGCAAAGAGCCCGATTGTGAGTATGTTGGTAGGTAAACAGAATAGGAGCTGCGAAACACCCTGAAGATTCCGGGTCCTCATGTTGGGATTGATGGGAGCAAATGATTCTATGGCATAGTGCTAAAGTCCGATTTCGGATCACTGCGCATCTACTATGTACTGGAATATAATTCTTCTGAGATTGCTGCAATCTGATTGGTTGACAGCGACAGGGATATTTAGTAAGCACGACACATCAAATTTCGTTTGTTTGGTGCTGTTACCCTGCCTGATTTGGTGCGGTTACCCTGCCTGATTTAGTGCTGTTACCCTGCCTGATTTGGTGCTGTTACCCTGCCTGATTTGGTGCAGTTACCCTGCCTGATTTGGTGCAGTTACCCTGCCTGATTTGGTGCAGTTACCCTGCCTGATTTGGTGCAGTTACCCTACCTGAGGTTACGCTGCCTGCAGGTAGCGGGTGCGCTCTGAATTTGAGGTGTCGCGCCCGTTGCTATGCACCTTTGAGGTACGGTGCGGGTTCTGAGTGTGGGTTGCGGAGTTGCGGAAATGCACCAAAAAAAACCCGTTTTCGACCCTGAAAATAACCCCCGGTGCGTCAAGTGGCCGGAACCCCCCTATTTTGCACCGGTGGGTCTATGGGAGCTGGGTGATAACACACACAACTCCTTGGGACCGGACTCTTTGCCAAAAATTCAATCTACTGAATAAAATCTACTGAACAAAATCTACTGAATAAAATCTACTGAACAAAATCTACTGAATAAAATCTACTGAATAAAATACCATCAACTCTTTAACAATCAATATCTTCGATTAAATTATCTGCTCCCGGGCCAAACAAAGTCCATTCCATACCGTTCCATAGTGTTCTCACCCAGCTCTCTCGGCAACATGTCGACAATTAAATGCACAACCTGTAAACAAGATAATGATATTGCAGATTATGATCTCGATCGTAATGGCCGGCCCCGTAAATCATGTCGGCCATGCTTAGTGAGTTTTTAAGTTACAACTATTAATTGAATTCTACTGATTCGGATCTTATTACAAGGCTCGCTCGCGTGAAAATACACGTCGTCGAACAGAATTAAGACGGCGGCAACAAATCGTAAATAATGTAGAGGTGAGTGGCAACATTGCTCTTTATAGTACCAATACGCGGGGCTCCTATTCTAATAGATACTCCTATGGCAGCCATCTCGGCCGCCGATTCAACCCGCGGTACCACTAGCATTCCAATCGTCACGGGCACGTTGGACGCCATTGGAGTTGGGCAGAATGACAGTGATTTGTCCTTCATGTCAAGCTTTACATTGGCTAAGCGAGCGCGTGCAAGGGAGTTCAATCACGTTACCGCGGTTTGAAAATTGTTGCAAGAAAGGCGATGTTCAGTTGCCGGCATTGGAACAAGCCCCCGAGTACTTACGGTACCTACTAGAATCTACTGATACAATTGCTAGACAGTTCCGTAGCCGCATTAGGGAGTACAACTCCGCTTTGACCTTTACTTCCGTTAAATATACCTCAGATGAACGCATCGACCGTCAAGCTGGGGGGGTTACATGCTTCCAAATCCATGGCGAGCTATATCACCTTCAGGGGCCCCTGACTGCAGCAGCAAACGATACGCCCGCTTTTGCTCAGTTATATTTCTATGACCCACTCTACGCTGCACAAATGATGCAGCAGGGACATCCAACTCTAGATATTGCGGTTTTGGAACGGTTGACACAAGAGATACACACAGTCAATCCATTTATTCCATTATACAAGACAGCGAAGGAAAGATTGGAAGCTGCATCCTCACAAGATGGAGATGTACGTGTCTTACTCAATCCGCAATTGCGGTTGATAGTGGAGAGTGGAGCGGACAAGCGGAGACACAATTTGCCTACAAGCAATGAAGTCGCTGCGATTATCCCGGATGAATATGGTGAAGCAGGATTCCGGGATATTGTCTTAGCACATAGAAATCCAGATGCCAATAGGCAGTTTAGTATAATTGATCCTAATCATGCCGCTTATATGCCCTTACATTATGTTCTGCTATTTCCAAATGGTGAGAGGGGTTGGCATTGGGGCTTACGGCTGCGGGATGAGTTGAACCGAAGGAAGAATTTAAGGTTACAGCAACGCGAATTTTACAGGTTAGTTATAAACACCAATGGCTCAAAGACTTTTTGATATGGCTAACTTTTTGATTACTATACATGGTGTGCAGGTACCGACTGCATACCAGGACGACTGAACCCATGACTTTATTCCTCTCGCAACGGCTATTTCAGCAGTATTTGGTAGATGCTTGGGCTGTTTGTGATCAGAATAAGTTGAATTGGCTTCGACTGAATCAAGCAAATATTCGGGCTGATCTGTACAATGGGTTGGCGGATAATATGTGGCAAGAGGACTTCAACTCGGAACAAACCGGGAAGCGTATCATTCTACCACGAAGCTATACAGGAGGCGACCGATACATGCTGCAGTTGTTCCAGGATTCCATGGCTATAGTCCGTCATTTTGGGCGTCCCTCACTATTTGTTACCTTTACCGCGAATCCAAAGTGGGAAGAGATTACTGCGGAGTTACTACCGGGGCAAACTGCTGTTGATAGGCCAGATTTAGTTGCAAGGGTGTTCCATCTCAAGCAACAACAACTCCTCCAAGAAATAAAGCGTAAACACATCTTTGGTCGCTATCTTGGGTCTGTATGGACCATTGAGTACCAGAAGAGAGGGCTGCCACACATGCATCTACTGATATTCCTTCATCCGGATGATCGCTTTCTGACAGCAGAGAGGATCGACGAAATTGTGTGTGCAGAGTTACCGGACCCCGCGACTGATCCTACGGGGGAACTAAATGCAATCATTAGAAGTTGTATGGTACACGGTCCATGTGGAGAGGCCAATATGCGATCGCCCTGCATGGCTTCAAAGAAGAATGGGGGACCAACTGCATGTTCGAAACGGTACCCTAAGGCCTATCAATCAGAAACAGTTGTACAGGAGGATGGCTATCCACTGTATAGAAGACGTAATGATGGCAGAACCTTTTCAGTGGTAGTAAGGGGCTCAGGGTTTAATCAAGAGTATCAGATGGACAACAGATGGGTGGTTCCATATAATCCTTATCTTTCTTTACGGTATAAAGCTCATATCAATGTCGAGATCTGTGGTTCTATCCACGCGATAAAATATATACACAAATATATATATAAAGGTTCAGATCGAACAACACTTCAAGTAGGGAGTGACTCGGATGAAATTACTAGATACCTCCAAGGGCGTTATATAGGACCCACTGAGGCTGTATGGCGTTTGTTCGAATACGGAATGCACGAAGAATACCCGTCAGTCATTCACTTGGCTGTTCACTTGCCCGGCGAGCAACCGGTATACTATGGAGATAACTCCAACCGGGAGGAGTTGATACAGAGGATGCAAAACTCGAGAACTACACTGATGGCTTATTTTGAGTACAATACAGAGCACGAGGATGGTACCCGGTATCTCTATCAAGATTTCCCGGTGTACTTTACCTATGACGCTAAATCGCGGAAGTGGGCATCCAGGAAGAAAGGTGTGGCTATTGGACGTATGTGGCATTGCAATCCTATGATGGGGGAGAAATACTATATGCGTCTACTGTTAACCGTTATCCCTGGCGCAAAATCTTTTGATTATCTGAAAACTGTCAATAATGTGCTGTATCCTACATTCAAGGCTGCATGCATTGCCCTTGGCTTATTGGACGATGATCAAGAGTGGGTGCAGTGCTTTACCGAAGCAAGCATATTCTCGAGCGGATATTCCCTCCGTACACTCTTCACCACTGCCTTGCTATTT